GACGCGTGCTCCATTCTTCCACATTTCTGAAAGTTGGTCCTTGAAGCTTGGCAGCTGATCAACGACGTACTTGTGTGGTGCCCCTCTTACCCGACTGAAGGCGCGGACGACTGTTACCACGCCTTCTTTCTCAAAGTTGTCCAACTCATCACGATACATGTCATCCAGTTCGGGTCCGCGGCAACCAAAGAACAGAATCGCCGGCGCCAAGTAAGCCCCTTCCCGCAGTGCAATTGCGCGGTCCTGGACAAAACCCCTGAAAGGGGCGAGACCTGTGCCTGCTCCTATCATGATCACCGGTGTTGAAGTCCGGCTGTGAATATCAGGGAGAGTGAAGTTGAGTGTCGCGGGCATCAGAGAGATTTTCACCACATCCCCTGGACTCAACGATGCGAGATAGTTTGATGCAACGCCCTTCTCCTCAACGGTATAAGTCAGCGTCGCAAAGCCAGACTTCCAGAAAGGCGAAGACGAGAAAGAGTAGGTTCTAGGGCGCATCTGCGGCAACATGGAGAGAAACAATGTGAGTGAAAGCTTGATGTCGTGAAAGGTCATGAGTAGGTCGACGATGGTAAGACGCTTGTCGCGGATGTCGGAAGTCTTACTCGACAGGGTCCGCAATGTAGCGCGAGTCTCCCCTTTCTCAGCCACTTCTGCCAAGGTTTCGATGCTTCTGGGCGTTGCTGTGCGTGTGAGTTCAAGGTGGCTGGCAAAGAGATCCCAGGCTGTGATGGGCTTGTTGAGAGGCAGGCTGGATGAACGGCCCGATCGAGATGTGATCGTCAGTAAAGCGTCTCCGGTAATGTTGAACCTAGACAAGACTTTCTGGACCAGCTGTGGATCATTCTGGGGCAAAACCTGAAGATGACCGCCGGCTTGGTAGGTGACCCCTTCTGGCAGTCTGAGTTCAAGATGTCGCTTTTGAGGGACAGCTTTCGCTGACAACATGCAAGATTCTTCGACAAATGCTGGTATGAAGCCTTTGCGTACTGTGGGTTGGAATCCATTTCCAAGTTTGACCTCAATATCGACATCAGGGCTTTCCTGATCCACAATTCGCCCATGATTGTCTAGCAGTGCTGGCCAAAGGTGGTTATCGAGCCAGCTTTCGAGCTCAGAGAAGACATCACAGGTCGCAGTATCTGCGGTGCCCAGAGTGGCCAGTCTCTGAGCTCCAGCCGCACCCAACATTGCATCCAGCGCCATTGGCACTTTGAAAAGTGTAGCAGGCCAGTCTCTGTGACCTGAAGGGATGTTCATTAGCACGCGCCACAACAGAGCATCATGAGATTTCGCTCACCACAACCAAAGACGGCGAACCGGACGCCTTTCAAGTCGCCAGCTTGAAGACTCTGGGTCCAAGAAACAAACTTAGTCGCATCCCGCGATGGCAGTCCGTTGTAAGACGCGGTGATCATGATGACTGGGCCATCCGAAGGTAGACTTCCCGCAGCATCGTTCATGGACATCGACTTGGGGGTAAAGCCTCTTCTGGATGCTTCCATGACCAGACGCTGTGCCAATGCTTCACAGGTGCCTGTATCAGATCCGTACAAGACTGTCATCGGGCCTTTTTGAGACAAGACGTGTTGCATAGCCTGTCTTGAAGGCTCTTCGACACCACTCGAGCGAGCCCTTAGGCTTTTTAAGAAGTCAGTCGGCCTCTTGTCGTCTCTCAAGCCGACGCGAACCTTGAACCCGGCTGGCTTGATTGTAAGAAGATGCTTGACCTTGAGCTTGTATCCAGGATCATCCTTCTTGATGTCGAAGTTGCGCAAAAGCATCGCGATAACCTGCAGAAGCCGTGTGTGAGCACCCGTGCCTTTCTCTACCTATTTGTTGCGGTTTTACTCACTAGTTGCGCCTCCTGCCAAGCGAACGCTCTCCCAATGCAACCTCGCATGCCATTACCAAACGGCTTCCAGGCATGTTTTGGAATACTGTCGAGGTTCCTCATCCTGTCTGGTTTGAATTCTTCTGCATCTGCACCCCAAACTGCAGGATCTCTGTGAAGGGTATGCAACAGCACACATAAGGCCTCGCCAGGCTTGACGAGATACTGTCCCCCGATGATCTCATCCTTGAATGGGGTGACATAATACCCAGGCGCAGTCGGCATCAATCTCAATGTCTCCCGGAAGACTGAATCGAGGAAAGGAAGCTGTTGCAGATGCTGGACGTTAATGGGCCCATCTCCAATAACTCGGTCGACTTCCTCACGAGCCTTCCTCATTTCCTCTGGGTGCTCCACAAGATAGTAGATGGAGAAGGACAGGAGACCTGACGTAGTCTCGTGACCTGCGACCAGAAAGGTAATGATGTTGTGAACGATGGCCTCTTCACTCAAGGAATCCCCGGTCTCGGGATCGCGACCATTGAGCATGGCGTTAAGCAAGTCATTGCTCCGATCTTTGGTGGATGACTGACGGCGCTGCGCGATGATCTCGCGGCATGTGCCTTGCATCTGCTCAATGTTCTTCCTGAATCTGGACATTGCTCGTGGTCGAAATAGACTGACAAAGTCTGGGAGGACAGCTTGAAGATCGGCTTCTCCAAGTACGGCAATCATGCTCTCAACAAACGGGTGCGTCTTCTTGTCCAGGTAGAAGCTGTTGAAGCGGTAGTCCATTGAGCACAGCGCTATGGTGTCCAGGGTCAGGCGAGTGAAATCATCAGCGACCTCGATTGGCGCTGAAGGACCAAGACGAGCCCTGGAATTGGTAAGCTGATTGTGGGCGGACGTGGGACCGGATGACTGACCACTTCAGGCAAAGTTGTTCAGAGAGATCATTCATCTCGTCAAACATGCTCCTGATCTTCAAAGGACCAAAGACTGGCATCAAAATCCTGTGCGCGACACCCCAGGTGTGGTTGTTGTGCTGTGCCGTGAAGAGACCATCACCAGCAGCCGCCCGCATGGTCTCAACGCCACTGGTGACGAGCTTGCAGAAGCGAGTCTCATCGGAGACTTCCTCTACTAGTTCGCGGCTTGAGACGGTGATTTCTCTTTTACCAGCAAAGGTTAAGGAGAATATTGGCCCTGATATGAGAAGTCAGGCATCATCTTATTGGTTAAAATGGCCTCCTGCGACAAGGGCGAAGACGACCAAATGCGAAAACCACATACCATGCTTTGCCACGAGACTAATCAGGGAGTCCAAGGGACTGACGAGGTCGATGTCCAAGATGTTTCCTAGAACCGGCAACGCTAATTGTCCAGAGTCAGCATTGAGAGATAGGGTGAGGGATAAGCAGCACTAACGTCGCGGCCCTGGTATTGGTAATATCGTGTCAGGAAAGTTCTTCTTGGTATTGGATTGGATGCTTTGATCTTCTTCCATCGTGTTTGCTTGTATAGAATGAGGATTTTTCAGAGGCAAAGTTTAAGTCGCATCCACGCTCCGGATGTCTTGAAGAAGGAAGACACGCAAGACTTGGCGAACTCCCAAAGGAACATCAAGGGAAAAGTGCGCTGCCTGAAGATTGATGAATCGCGGCGGGCTTCGATGTGTGGTCTAAGCTGCGCAGTCATCCCACGTGGCTGCCGGTATCCGCAGAACGTTCCCAGTGGTTTCTCATGATAATTCCCTCACTTCCTGAATGCATCACTTGACCAGCAAGAGTCAAAAGAAGAAAACTTCTCACCGCTGCATTGCCGATGCCGAAGCGAGGAACCATTGTAACTTTCACGATGCGTACAATGAGGCTCCACGGTGTCGACATGAGATATCCCAGATTGCTGAAGGTTTCATTAGATCATTCGCAGAACTCGACGATACGACCTCAGTGGACTTCGCAAGCCAGAATTGAGTCCGAATCCAGATTTTGCGCCGTGATGACAATGGGGACTGGGTGGTTGGTTGCGCGCGTCTGGGGATCCATCAACGCGTGCGGCTTTTGTGTAAGGGATACAGAGCTGCATTGCATGTTTACACATAATATCCACCAAAGACAAACGAGGAAGGTGGCTGTGCCGTCAAAGACGAGAATAGCTTGGGGGGAAGAAAGGTATCGGTTTGAGGGGTTTTGCCATGTGACAGGTACACTCCCATCATCGTGAAAAGCCTTGTTTACATCCCAGAGGCCTCCAGATACACAACCAGCGTAGCCCACATCCTCAGAGCGGGAAGGGCACATGAGATTAATACCGCATTGCATATGTGCACAACGTCCTTGCCTTAACCCCAGACAAGGGAGTTGAAGGACGAATGGGAGCAGTCCGGGGAGACTAACATGGTCCCAGAAAAAAAGCTTGGTCCATTGCGGGAAGCGCCCGTACGAATCCCAACCCCAACCCACTAACTCCTGAGCTGCCAAGACAAATCCCTCATACAAAACCTCCGCAGATGCTCCCGTTGTACTTATCTAAATCTCCAGAGCTCATGATACTTTCACTCGAACAAATATTGCCCGTCCAACGCTTAACTCCCGCGCAAAACAGCCTTTTTCTTTTCTGGACAACCGCACTATCCCCGTCGAGTCATGCCGTGCGGGCGCAATGCTGTCGCAGCTTCAATGACAGATCTTTCCAAATGTGTCTGAAATCGCTCACGAGGATCCAGTGCAGCAGGCACACTGCTGCATGCGTTCAGTGAAGAGAGAGGAAGCAATGGAAAAAATCACGGAGATTACACAACGGAGCATGGTCTGGATGAGGCGGCTGAACGGGTGATACTCTGTAGACTGGAGGGTCTCGTGCGAGCGCTTACATGTTCCCATGCTGGTGGTCCTCGTGCTCATTCCCTCGTCCCATCACGTTCACCGCCAAGACAACGAGTTGCGATGGGTTGGCCAAGACTGCGGAGTCTAGGATGCAAGTCATCTCGCGACGATTAGAAAAGTCGCCCTGCTTCCATGAGGTCATTCCCAGCTACCCAAGTCGACTCTCTCATTCACTCAACACCCGGATCAACCTCCTATTCTCCCCCTTTTTCAACTTTACCCCTTGCAACTTTCTTGCCTCTTACCAGGGCTGAGTCCTCCTCGCTTGTTGAACTGATATGGGAAACGACAAAGCTGTCACCGTCACCGTAACCGCCGTGGCCGGGGACACAGAACGCCGAAGGACGTTCTCGACCCTGTCAACAAGCACCACCTCGAGCCTTGTCAAGTCGCGCCGTCCACCTCACGTGGGGAGCACTGAGAAAGTGCGCGAGCTCGTCCGACTTGCACTCACTCGTCTCCGTGTTCTTCTCAGCGAACGCAAAGGCACTCGGAAACCCATCTCCCAGAAGGGTCTCTTCGCTTACAACTACGTTGAGCCTCTGTTCAACTGGTGGGGTGCCAACTACCGAGTCCTCCTCACCCAGTGCCTTGGCCGTGTTGAAGCCCGTGACGCATTCGGATCTGCGACCAAGCTGGTGAATGGTGCCTCGCACAACTATGCCGGCTTCTACAAGGCCACCGCCGAAGCCGAGAGGCTGCAGCGTTTGTGCCTCGAGATGCTACCCGTCTCTGAGAGCGACGCAGTTCCCTTCCTCAGAGACGAGACACACCATGCCATTGCCAAGTTTCTCGGTGCCGACTTCTGCTTCACCACGAGCACGGGCTACGGCTCAAATTACATCGCCCTTCCGCCGCTCGTCGACTGCGCTACCGTCGTCATTATGGACGAGAACTGCCACAACTCCATGTTCACTGGTGTGTTTCTTGGGATCTGCCCCAACCTTCGCAAGTTCAAGCACAACAACATGGACCACTTGGAGACGCTGTTGAGCGGGTGTATTGATGCGACGGACAACATCATTGTGGCAATCGAGGGTCTCTACAGGTTTGTACATCTGAACACCATCGTCATGAACTGTTTACTAACTTTAAATGATGACAGCATGGAAGCCGACGTGCCACCTTTGGACGAGATTCAACGCCTGAAGAAGGAATATGGCTTCACATTATACTGCGACGAGGCGCATTCTTTCTTGTCACTCGGCAAGACCGGCCGAGGATGTTTGGAGTACTGGAACGATTACCATCCGGAGAACCCCTTACCTTGGGACCTCATCGACATACGCACTGGCACCCTTTCCAAGGCTGTAGGGGGTATTGGAGGCATAATCGTTGGAAAGGGCCAATTCCAGGAAAGTGTTAGAGAACGCATAGAGAACCTCGACGAACAGGAAAATGCCTCCCTGCCCAGTTCCACCATGGCGCAGACTCTCTGGGTTCTCGGACAGCCTGCCCGAATCAGCCGCAGTCTGCAGCGTTTGGCCAACATCTCTCGCTTCTGCCGGGAAGAACTGGAACGCTTCGGCATCTTTGTTTATGGCGACATTGGTACACCTGTTCTCCCCGTTTACACCGGCAGGCCCAGCGTCTCAGCCAAGCTATCATATGCTCTCCGCTGCGCAGGTCTCCTCGCCACGCCGGTTTGCACTCCGGCCGTCCCCTTCTGGGAAAGCAGAGTCCGCATCAACCTCTCAGCAGATTTCACCGATGAAGAAGTCAACCGCCTCGTCGAGGCAGTCATTCGTGCAGCCGCCAGCGTCGGTATCTGCAGATCCCCGAGCACCGTTCGCTTTCTCTTCAAGACCGACGAAGAATCTTTCACGGTGGAGGAAGATCCCGAAGAGGCGGAGAGGTCGTATGACTGGGTGCGCGGTTTGATCAAGATGGACGCGACGATGGGTCCAACGAGTCAGCAGAGACAGTTATTCGACACCACATGTGGCCCCAGGATTCTTGAGATAGGTCACAAATCTCGCGTGCAGTATGGCATCGGTGCCGGAGGTGCACGCTGGATCTGCGGGACTTTCCCTCCTCACCTCGCAGTTGAGAAGCTCATCGCCAAAGCAACTGGCATGGAGGCGGGCCTGACCTATGCGGATGCATCAATCGGACTCGCATCAACCATCGCTGCACTATCGCGACCGTTGTTGGGATACACCAAGCACTATCTCCTATTTGAGAGGGGCGCAAGCCAATTTGTTCGCGACGGCATCGTGATGGCACCAAAGAAGGATGCACCCACTCTGCTCAGCTACATCGACTTATTCCAGCTCGTGCAGCAAGTCAGAAAGCTTTCGCGCAGCAACCAGAGACTATGTCTCACAGTTTACGTTCGCGTCGGCGAAGACTCGGCTCATCACTTGCTTTCAAACGTTCTTGAGGAGATCGCGACCATCACTGGTCCAGAGTCCTCCATGACCATTCTTCTTCACTGCACCTCTCATTACCTGAACCCAAGGGAGCTCATCTCGTTCCCTTGCAGGTCTAACATCCATGTTCTTGTGTGTGGTTCTTTCAATCGCATCTTTGGTCTGCCGGCGGGTTTCCTTACTGGCCCAGAGAGTCTCATCAGGGAGTTGAGGTATACGAGTAGGGGGTACATGTTTACCACCTCACCACCCCCATTCGTGATGGATATGCTGCGTGCTGCGTTGGAGTGGAACTTGTCGACCGATTAACTTTTTCCTGGGCATCACAAGCGTAGCATTTCATGTTGCTGTCCTTCAGGTTAGGCGTTGAGGCATTCGTGATGTTTTCTAGTCCATCAATTTTATTTTTGGTTTGAGCGCAGTCCACACGTTTCCGAGTCGGTATCGATAGTTGGCGCGAGTATGTCTGAGATTCATAATGATAAGAGGCAGCCTGACGTAGCCACGACCTCCGCAAGTGTAGAAATGCCTGCATGTCACCACATGTACCTTTTGTCTTAACCGCCAGCCAGCCATCAGGCTGTTCCCGTCTCTGGCGAACCACCCGTCACTTATGGCGAACCACCCGTCACTTATGGCGAACCACCCGTCACTTATGGCGAACCACCCGTCACTTTTGGCGACCGTCCCCGTTTCCTTTTTGGCGGACTGATGTTCCAGACAGCAGCTTTCTCTATCCCACGTCTTTACTCGATCTTCAAGACACCAAACTCGTCTCTGTGCCGCATTCTGTCACGTCTACAGCTTTGCACAATGGACAAGGTCTGGTTCAAGCTGCGTCAGACCGACTACCCGCCGCCAACCCCGGAGTCGATGGGTACGGCCAAAGAGACCGGTCCCTTGTGTCTAGGCCATTTCATACCCGACCTCCGTCGGATCGATTTCCCCATCAATCGCGACGAGATTGAACCGTTTCCAGCAAGCATGCGGGTGTTTTCAACCAGCGCGGTTAAGTTCCAGTGGGAGGATACGCGAACATCTGAGCATGGCGGCGCCTTAAGCGGTGGCGCTCCTGTTCTGGCTGCGTTAGGTGCACCGGTTACCGCCAAAGCAGATATCAGTGCAGCTTTCAAGGCCTCCGTTTCAAACTGCGAAGCTTACGACAGGCTCGATACCTACATAGTGCAGGTGAATCCGCTGTACGTCGATGATTGCTTGGAAGGGAACAAGATCTCTCAGTACACGAAGCACAATGCCACATTGGGAACCTGGTCCATGTTTATCATCACCGGAATGAAGATTGCCCGGATAGGTTCGAGGTCGCTGTCCTCGTCTCGCAAGGTTGAGCAGGGATTCGGGGTCGGAGCGTGAGTTCATTATCTTCTGCCGCTTGCCACATAACTCTTCCGCTGTACCGTCGTCCGTTTTCAGGGCTAATAGCTAGGTCTGTATTGTAGAGACCTCGCAGGGATTGCTTCCGCCGACATCGGTACAAACAACAGTCGCGAATGCGAGACAACTATAAAAGCCGCCGAACAATCCGATTTCGTATGGGCTGTTAGATTGGCCAAGGTGCATAAGGGATTTCTTAGGACTGACTGGTCGATTGGTCCATACACAAAAAAGGCAACCTTCGAGGACACCGACGGCAAAATTGACGTGGAGAGCATCGTCTCTGCTGAAGGCGAAAAGATGTTTTACGTGTTTGAGGATGATCAGCTGGACGAAGCGTTCGTTATCCTGAATAATGAGACGCACGAAAAGGATCAGGTTATCTCGTTGAATTGAAGACTTGGGGATTTCAAACTAGTCATTCAGTAAGAGTTTCCCTGAGCTACCTACTAACTACTCTGCATCCTGCAAAGCCCTGATAATAAACTCGTGTACATGTGCTCTTTCAATCTCCCTTTCGCCGATATCTTCTTCATTGCACAGTGAGAGCAACTTCTTCGGGTGGATACAGTCGTAGTTCTCACTCGAAGACGCCATCGCTCTGAATACTGCTGACATGCCAGCCTTCGAATTCAGCATCCATGTGTTCTTTTGCTTCTTCTCAGGCACATAATACCTTTCGAAGTCAAGAATTCGACCTGCCATTCCCGCTGCCAGCGCCGTAGCTGCTGAAGTTCCGCTCACACGGCCGGAATGCCCCGGCAACTCGATGTCATGCCCAAGTAAAGCGAAGTTATCCGCATTACGACGCCACTCAGGATTGATGTCTCGATGACTCTTCAAGTTTCCCATGGTAGCAAACATGCATAACACGTGATCTTTCATGCGAGCAGGGTAAGCGACTCTTTCTGTGTTGCCCCAGTTGGAAGCCGCGGCGAAGACAATGATGTTGGCAGCATGTGCTTCGTGGATAGCAGAGCGAAGTCTTTCGGTAGCAGTCGTGAAACCAGCTGATATACTAATGATTTCAACTTTGTGGGATATAGCCCATTCGATAGCCTAAATTCTTGTATGAGATTGTTTCTTCCGGAACGAGTTTTAGTCAGAGATTCAATACCTTGGCCATGATGTCTGGCGCCGTTCTCTCATCCGCCTCATCACTTTCAAATACCTTCGCTGCAAATATTTCAGCCGTGTCATACATACTCAGAATGAGTCTTATCGATTGTGTTCCATGGAGCAGCTTCCCTTCCTCGGGGCGCTGCGGTTTTCCTGTGCTGTTCACGAAGTCCTTGTATCTCAACGCGATCTCTGAAATCGCATCAATGCCTGTGTCTATGACAGCAATCCGAATTGGTCGATAGGTTTCTTCGTCTTTGCGGACGCTCTTCGGGGTTTGCAGAATGCGCGCAACACGATGCCATTCATCGAACCATCTTTTAGAAGAGATAAGCCCCTCCCTAGAGCTTTTTCTTAGTCACAGTCGTTCTTGCTTCGGATTCGGAAGTCTGACCATAGGAATTCGAAACTCACCTTGAAGCAGCCGTGCCTGCGAGCGACTCAGGGGGTATAGGTGAGATCTGATGCGATTCTCTTCTGTCTTTCCAGTCCAATAGCTCATGCCACGTCATTCTTCTGATGACTGGTTGGGCTGATTGAGTGTACTTCAGCACCTGAAAAGCGCAATCAAACACTCCAAAAGGCTGTCCATCCCTTAGGTCATTGATCCATGATAAAGGGACTTGTTAGTGTTAGAATGGAACATGTAATCCCGAGTCAGTGGTGCTCAAACTGACACGTACCTGCCCAAGTGATAGTACCAGGATACCTGTTGTGACTCAAAATTATTCTTAATCCTCGGATCCCTTTGCTTGTGGCTGTTTCCTTCACTATGGCAACATGGGTTTCCGTCCTTTTCTCGTCCTGTGGCAATGCAGAGTTGGAAGGGCTAGAAAAGGGTGCGCAATTGGCTGTCAGTCTTGAGTATTTTGATGTCTGGTGGTCTCACCTCTGAAACAGAATACTTTCACCCAAAACAGCGCTCTGGGCTATCTTCTCGAGTAGGATATTGCGCATACTACGCATGCATGCCAAAAAGTCATCGGCAGCTATTTCGAGAAATATAATTAGTTTGACTGTTAAGAGGGGGGCCATTCCACCGTGCAAATGACTGACCAGAGATACTCTGAAAAGTGAGCTCTACTCGATTGCAAGGAATTGATTCCCTCTCTTTGCTATCGATGACTTCGAAACAGTCAGCTGCTTGAAAGGTTACCTGGCGGCCTTGAGATTCGACAACGGTGTCTTTGTGCACTGATTCTTCGAAGTCAGTCACGTTTTGATTGATTTCAACGATTCATTACCCTTGATCGTGAAGCTTTGGTTTGTTGTGTTCCCCGTGCTCGGGGAGTTGGAAAGTTCCCCAAGAAAAACAGAAAGATAATCCTCATCAATAAAGAGAGATGGGCAGTCAAACATTGATGCAAGCTTCAACCACCTCTCATTCGCGCAACGATAGTGAGAGATCTGCACATGACATCGTTTCCATGGAACGGGAAAAATGTTCTTGCCGACAGAAAAACGAGCACTCATGAGGCTTCCAGCGTGTTTGTTGGTGCTATTGAATGTAGTAGCTTCATGCCGTTTCGTTTCAAGTTTAACAGTAACAGACAGTGAACGGGTTTACATACGCTTTTGAGCACAGAACTGACACTCGATCTTTGGCCACTCGGAAAAGTCTTCCATCTGAGGGTGTGGTCTGTACTAGGTTTGAGTTCACATAAGCGAGAATGTTGCGAGCCGATCGGCTCCATAACGACCTCATGACTGCGCATTCTGAAAGAGGTGAGAAAGAACATCAATCTCGCATAGAACATTATATCACTTCGTTGCCGCACCTTGTATTCCAAATTGTCTGGGACGTATCCGAAGTAACACAGGCCTATCATTTGATCGGGAAGCCATGTACCACGTGTATTGCGAGTCGGCTTGTATCTCTAGAACCGGTACACCTTGACCAAAAGGCACTATCTCCTCAATTGTCAGTCTACCCGCAATTACAAGAGAAAAGGGGCTGCTGTCTTTACTTACACTGAAAATACAACGAAGCAGTATGGTCCTCGCACTCACAGAGACACATGAGCTTCATATCCGTCGTTGAGCTCTTTTCCGTAAGCTTAGCCAGCGGACAAACGTTTTGGTAAGTCGGTGGTTCCTTTCCCGCACTCCTACTGACTATTCCAGATGACATGTCGCACATGCTCACGTGACAAAGTGCGACTGCATCTTCGAGCTTCGAAGATGAGCTCTGCGAGTCTGTTGACACTCCGGCATTTGATCGGCGTACAGGAGAAGACAACAGCGTGCCTAGAATATCCTGCTCCAAAATCCAGTCACAAAATGCTTGTAGACCTTCTGTCATGCGCGGAAGTAATTCGATGCTTTCATTACTGCTGGCGCAGGTTGATCGTTAGTCTATATCCAAATTATATAAACGGCTGAGCATTGACGTTATACTCTTTGCACTCAAGAAAGTACGCGATGAGAGTGAGGCTGTTGATACTTGCGATCAGTCTCTCCCCAAGCGCGTGTATAGTCGTGATCTTTCTGTTTGTTTGCTGCTGCCTTTCAGCCATATCGATCAATACGCGATCATCATCCACGAGAGCTTCCCGGAGCCCGAAGAGTATATTTTGGCATGATGCGAGTGCAGCTTCGACCTCTCGATTGCCGTTTGGCGGACCGTGGCTTGTGTCTGGGGGCGTCCAGACAGGGTCCCAGTCCGACTTCAACGCAGCAATGCTGGTGAGAACATCCCTCAGGATAGTCAGCTGTTTCTGGTAGATGGTAGTATCAGCTTCGGTTGCCTTGCTGAATGTGACCAGAGCAGAAAGCAACTTCTTCGATATTGATGACAG